TCCAAGTTACTTAGGGGAAAAAATAGGAAGCTTTCAGTTATCTGCCTCAAATAACCCAGGAGTATGCTCCTCATGAATGATGTTGATCAGTTTATCTTCTTATACCAGATGGGGAGCTTCACACACAACTTCCAAAATGACCATCATTTTGTTGATCTCATGGCACATCTTTTTGCTGCCTGACCACAAACCATCATCAGCCTGTCCACTCAGGCATATATTGCTTTGGGATTTTGCTTTGTTTAGATTTAATCTTAGTTTCGTTCTCACTCATGAATTTCATTCTCTTCTTTTAAATCCATTTTAAATCTAGGATGTGTAGTTGCCAAGCTTTAATCAGCATCTTTGCATTCCTGAAAGCACGCAGGTTTTTCAGCTTTGCCACTTTTGGGTTCTGTGCTTTGCTGCCTCTGCCAGAAGCACTTCAGTTAAGCAGCCATTCCCCAAATCATAATCAGGTAATTTCAACAAAAAAATTCATCTTCTTGGGTAAGATTTCAAACTTTACTCAAAACTTTTTTTTTTAATCTACAAGTGGGAATGAGACCCTGTACTCAGTGAAACACAAGAAGAGCACGTTGCCTGATCTTCCACTTCCTTTTACTCCCAACTCCACTACAGCTCAAGACTTGTCCTGGAGACAAGTGAAATAAACATGTATTCTGTGCTTAGATAACAATATTTTTTGCCACCAGTTACAAAACCTGAGAAGAAATCAGATTCATACACTTTTATCAGAATTTCTATACATAAATAGATAGGTATTCATAATACAAAATAGCAATTAATTTGAACTGCACCAAGCAAAGTTCGATGTAAGAAAAAGTCCAAACACTCCAGCAGAACTTGGCAAAAGTGCCAGGGCAGATTATGCACAGGTACTGTCAAAGACCTCTGACACTTTTCTAATGAGCAGTTTCAGCATTAGAGGAAAGACCACATCCAGCTCTCGATAATCAGTTGCTGAAGTAATGATGATTTCAATCACCCTGATGAAGTTGATGACAATGATTAAACTGGCTACTTAAGGCATCTCCTTGATTAAAGTGATATTTAACCCATAAATCATGAAGTTCTGTTTGGCTTCATGCCATAATCTTTCATGAAAAAAATGCTTCAGGTATGGCACCTTCTTTCCCAGATCAGAAGAACTGAGAAGGGGATTTCTACTTCCCCCACTCATGTGGCATGAGGTAGACACTTTTATCCACCGAAGTTATTAGACTATGCTCACTGAAATACTTGCCTATTCTCATCCTTCACTAACACTGCTTCTTACACACAATAGCAATTCAACATCTTATCATTCTAATAGGAGTAAGAAAAAGCCTTTGACTTTGTGAATTTTGGACTCTGGGCAGTCTCACTGACTTCAAAATTGCGCTAAGTCATTCATCATCTAATTTTTCTTTCATCAGCCAGATAAAATAAATGGCTTATCATCTTTAGCATCAAAAGAAACCTATAACATACCCTTTCTTCCTCTTCAATAGCCATGCAATTACCTTGGTGTTATATAGGTTAAAAATACTGCTGCATTAGGGTATTCTCACCTATTGTCCTGATGGCACTTATTGAAATTCCCTTTCTACACTGTTATTCCTTCCCAGTATTTGGAAGACGTTAGTAATAGAAGTAGATTTCAGCAGTAGAGCACTAAACCACATGGCCTCAAGTTGTAATTACTGCAGGCTTTTGTAGCCACGTAAAAATAGTAACTTCTTGAGAAAGAAATTAATAGTCCAGTATAGTAATAATAATGAGCGATAGCTTTCTAATTCATCAAATTCATAGAGGGGAAGAGCTGTGTTAGAGAACTTAATCTATATTGGCTCAATTAACTAGATAGGAATAAAAGGTTCATTTGATTTGAAATAAAACAGTTACTGTAAATGTAGACCAGCCAGAGATGCAGAGGAAGTTACCACTAATAAATCCATAAATGCTCTTCAATTCAAACAGAGAAACCTCCCAAAGCAAGGCATACCCTGTGGAGGTTTAGTTGAGAATCTGTTACACCCAATGGTAAAATACAGACTTAAAAAGCAGCAACCAAAAAGCACTTATTCTCTGCAGTGCTTTCCAAAAAGCACTAAGCAAGCACAGATCAAACAGAGGCAAGATTTTCCTTCCCCTCATTTCTCAATAGGTGTAGTGCTTGTCTGGCACCTAAACCAGTCTGTTCCCATCCACCTTAGTCAGTTGTTATGCTCTTCATCAACTTCACGTTCTTTACACTGCTGTTGTAAGCAGGACAACTGACATCCATAAAATGCAGTTTGCCATAAAATTTTCCCTTAGCATACATGTATTACTGCTACAACACCAGCTCCCTGAATAGTAGTGTCTCAAGAAAAAAAGCGTTCCCATTGTTGAAGGTCAAACAAGTGCCTTCACAGTCAGCAGGCAAGTCCCCATGCCCTGGCATCACCCAGGAACGTCCCTGCAAAGCTCCTGCCACCTCTGTTGAGACACCTCCACACAGCAGGACCCCTTCTGGTGAGCAGGACCAACTTCAGGCTCTCCACACTTCCTGGGAATTTGGCCAACACCATAACCACTTTTTTTTTCCTTAAACAAAAGAGTGTCAAATAACTCATTTTTGTTATTCCTGGTGTAAGTCACAGTCTAGAATAGTAACACTATTTTTAGAAGAATAGCAGCAAACTATCAAGCACGATAGAAAAAGAACTACAGCACAAGGCAGAAGAAACTCTGAGAAGGTCAACTGGAGATTTTATATAGTAGTAGGGAGTTATATTAGCTGCTGGAGAGATACTTTATTCCTTCTACCCTCAACCCCCCACTTCAAGTCTACTGTATCAGAGAATTTTCTGGATGAAAAGAGAAATAGTCAGAAGAGACCATTACAAGCAAGAGGGACTGGAGCAAAACAGACACTTGCACACCTGTGATACCAAAGCTGACTGAAGAATCAGTATGGTTATCCACCATCCCAGGCAGTAGGAGACTACTTCTAAAAAGTTTTAAGTTTTCACTAAGTTAACCACTGAAGTTAAACCCCCCTTTACCTTTCTCCAGTCTGATTTCTGAAAAAAAAAAAAACAACAACAAAAAAAAAACAATAGGACAGCTAAAAGCTCTCAAACCTCACAAGTCTTTTCTAGGTACTTTGGTTCCTTACGAAGCAAGCAGCTCTACTGGAGAGCACCACGTTTAAAATGGAGTAGTCAATCTACTTAATCCACCACACCTAGCCCCAGCCACTTGTCAGGCCGATTAGTGAGGAGCTACATGTTCGGTGCCCAGCTGTTCTGACAGACACATCACAGCTCTTTTTGCAAACCCCCCTCCATTTTTGTTTTCATGTAATTACACTGCACAAAGTTTTTATTCGTAGCCAACGTTTTCCCTGGCAGATAATTGCCAAGAAGGGAAACAAAATCCTATTTTCAGAATAGATTTCCCCCACTTCGTTTTCCAAGCAACACTCCCATACTGACCTGGATCTAACTGGCGTATCTCCATCTGAATACTGTAGGGAGTTTACTTTTTAAGTTCTTATTAATGCCCATCCCACAGGTCTCCTGAGGCCTGTCATGCAGTGAGGCAAGGCCTGCACTTCCCTCAGGCGTTGGCGTCCTCCACTGTTCCTTTGCTGTGGAACAGCAAGAGCCTCCTGAACCACCAGCCCTTCTCATGTCTTCATTCCTACATAAATCCCACTGTAACAGTGCTTATGAACAACAGTGAAGAACAAAAAAGCCACAAGCTTACCAGAAAGGAGTAAAATCAAAGTTTCATGACTGGTTGTTCTGCTGCTGCCTGCCCACCTATAATTTGTCTCAGTGCACTGAGAGGTGACCTCTTCCTCTCAGGGAAAGCGTCCAGAGACATAAACACAATAGTTTGAATATTGCTAAGTTAGGAAGTACACCTTCATTTTAAGGAGAAGTGCCACCTCTGAAACAAAGGAGGCTCACAATTATCCTTACTTCCACAGCTGTGCTGGGGGGGGACAATGACACATTTTTCAAGTAACCAAGCACTTCACTTAAGGTCTCTGTGCATACTCTTACGAAGTCCCAGCAGAAAAAGATACTTACAATAAAACCTTCTTATTTTACACGGTACCAATGATGTTTCTAGAAGCATTTTGCTGGAAAGTAACTGCAGTGTTTAACATTAGCAGTAGCTATAACTGTAAACATCGCTTGAGAAGTAATTGCCATCATTTTTACCAGCTTGCTATGGATCTGCAATGAGTATGAATTAAAGGATTTAAATGGCTTGAAGAATGCTGTTGTTCTGCAAATAACTGCCTAAGTAAAGTGGTGTGAATTATTAGGATGCAGATTGTCATGGGAAGTTTCTGAAGCTGTGTAGTACTTGCTGTAGCCTTGCTTCAGAAAGCCATCATAATTAATGCATCTTCAACATCTGCAAATGGAATTCCATAATCATATGAAATTTTAAGCAAGTATCAGGCATGACTCTTAATGGGTATTTTATGAGCCACTCCTATTACATTTCTTACAATTTAAGTTGCACCCTTGAAAGTTAGTATAGGCTCTCTGCATGTAGACTGCTTTATTGGATGGCCTGACTGCTTGCAGTGCCTATTGTGGCATATACTCTAAATAAGCTTCAGATTTTTCAATTTTAGAAAGCAGCAGACAAGAAACTTGCAATTTACCCATGGGTGAGAAGAAAACAAAGGAGACTCTCTTACCAAGGAGGTACATTTCTGAAATAATCAGCTAAGGCTTTCACTCTGAATACTGAGAGATAAAGCTCTAAGACTGTTGTTCTCTAACACCTTAATCCCTGCTCAATCTAATAAACCTAGTTACTATACTATAGAACATGTAAAATAACTATTAGAGAAAATATCCAGTACAGAGGAAGGAGTAGGAAGAAGAGAAGAAAAAAAAAAAGGCTGTAAAGAAAGAGGGAAGATAACCAGACTCACTGAAGGGAGGAAAAACAAGATAAAAAACACATTTTTTTTCTAACAAAAAATATCAGAAATTACTCACTTCAGAAACAAGCCTTCTACCGCCACAGGATACCTTCAGAGGTGCCCCTCTCTGTCACAGCAAAAAGGCCTTACAACCCAGGCACACAAGGAAAATCCTGAGCTTGCAGCTGCTGGTGGGAAAATAAAGGGTGTCCTTAGTGACATCAGCTGTGACAGCACAGCCAGGTGAACAGCTTCATCTTACTGAAGGGTATCGGTTGTCCGTGACCCCATCCCCTGTTATCCTCTCTGTCAGGCCAAGCATGTGTGTTGGGGTAGGAGCTTTACCTTGGGCAGTGTTATTTTCCCACCCCAACCCTCTCCTTAGCCCTCTGACAGAGGAAAACAGTGTTATTAGACCAATGGGTTACAGCATCATGCTCTTCAGAGCACCTCTGCTCATGGAAATGGGACTTTGCAAGCAGAGCATTTTCCTGCCATTTTGTAAGCTGGTATTCAAAAGCACTTGACCTAACACCCTTAAAGACAAATTTCAAGCAAAAAACATGCATTAGAAGAGGCCAAGTGACAGATTCATACACTCTGAGACACATTCTTTAAAAAAGGAAAAGCCTAAGAACTAGCTAGGAAAGCAGGGCTCTTTGAGGCAGTGGCTGGGAGCTATGCAGCAGGGCATGAAGAAAGCCCGAGTGGCTGGGAACCGTGACAGGGCCTGGTGGCCCCCTGACACGTGGGCCTGCAGGGCGCTGCCCCCAGCCCTGGGCCCTCCCTTCTGATGACACAAAGCTGGGGGCAGAGGCTGGTACCTCAGAGGGCTGTGCTGCCATGCTGAGGGACCTCAACAGGCTGGAGGGATAGGCCAAGAGGAACCTCATGAAGTTCAACGATGGCAAGTGCAGGGTCCTGCACCTAGGGAGGAATAACCACAAGCACCACTACAGATGGGGGGGCTGACCTACTGGTGAGCAGCTCCACAGAGACAGACCTGGGAGTCCTGGTAGCCAGCCAGCAGTGTGCCCTTGTGGCCAAGATGGCCAACGGGATCCTTGGATGCATTCAGAAGAGCGTTGCCAGCAGGCCAACGAAGGTGATCCTGCCCCTCTACTCAGCCTTGGTGAGGCCACACCTGGAGCACTGTGTCCAGTTCTGGGCTCCCCAGTACGAAAGGGACATGGAGATCCCAGAGCAAGTCCAGAGGAGGGCTACAAAGATGATGAGAGGACTGGAGCACCTGTCGTACGAGGTCAGGCTGAGAGCTGGGCCTGTTTAGCCTGGAAAAGAGGAGACTGAAGGGAGCCCTCAACCATGTGTATAAATACCTGAGGGGAGGGCGTTGAGAGGATGGAGCCAGTCTCTTCAATCGTACCCAGTGACAGTACGAGGCAACGGGCACAAACTGAAGCACAGGAGGTTCTGGCTCAATATAAGAGGGCACTTCTTTACTGTGAGGTGACAGAGCATTAGAACAGGTTGCCCAGAGAGGTTGTGCAGTCTCCTCTGGAGATATTCAAAGCCCACCTGGATGCCATCCCACACAACATGCTTTAGGTGATCCTGCTTGGAAGGGGGGTTGGACTCGATGATCTTCAGAGGTCCCTTCCAACCCTGCTGATTCTGTGATTCCTATGGGCTCTCAGTGGGATTTTGGGTGTTCAGTGCTTTTTGAGGAGAGCCGGCAGCTGCAGGGAACAAGGCAGCTCCAGGCTTTGCCCTGGGGCTATCAGAAGGATGTTTTTGGAGGAAGTCATGAAGTTCCTTTGGGTTTTGGACGATCAATATGCTTGGCACCAAGTAATCCAGCCCAAACCACCAGGGCTGTGTGTGAAAATGCCACCCCAAAATGCAGTTGTCCACACAACATGGAACCCCAGGAGGTGCCACCCACTACAGTGTGGTGACCCACCCAGGTTGGATGGGTGATACCGACATTTTGTACAACCCCATGGTGACTGTGGGGACACTGCACGCCCCAGCCAGGGGGACAGTGCTAGCCGCCATTTTGGGAAGTTTCTGGAGGCTTGAACCTGGAGTCCCAGGCGCTGGCTGAGCTGGGAGGGATGAAGTTTGTGGTTCCCCTCCTGCTGCTCTTCTGCAGACCTGGCTGTAGATCTTCACCTTCTGCTTTTGAAATGTAAGTTGCTTTAAAGTTCTCCCTCTTTTCTTTTTCCTGTAAGAAACATTAGTGATGTTGCCTAGATCAGTTTCATTGTGTTAAGATGGGAGGTCATTTTGCAAAGAATATATGTGTTTGTTTTTTTCTCTGTCATAGTCCAGAACTAAAGGCATTGCTGTCTCTGCCTTCTTTCTCAGCTGATTCCCCCATCAATGTGTTGTTTTGACACTTTAGCCTTTCTACCTGCTTCACTCTGAGTGCCTAAAACTGAGAGGCTTGTAGGCAAGACTGGAAAAATTGACTTCAATAGCAGAAGACCTGAGCTTTTCATACTTGTGCCCTGTCAATGCTGACATGTGAGAGACCCCTGTGCCTCTCTGTCTCCAACTCCAGCTAATCCCAGCTGGTCCTCCCAGCATCGAAGCTGAGGCAAGGAAAGCTTTCGTCTTCAGACAGATTAGTCTTGTACCTCTTTGTGGCTTTTCTTTCAAGCAAAAATTCTGCTCGGAGAGAAGCGATCACTGGTGATAGTAGGAGAACACTGCTTCGGTAAGGAAAAAGGACTGAATTCAATAACACACACAATAGAACTCATTTGTGACACTAAGAGGGAAAATTATGCTGTTCAGCTTTGCTCACTCATATGCATAAACCAGTCTAGGCATTGGGAGTATAAGAACGAGTCAAAATACGGATTGATTCTGAAATCAGTTCTTTTTTTTTTTTTTTTTTTTTTTTTTTCTTATCCTTTAAAACCATGGACAGGAACGTACAGCTCCACAACAACGGAGGCCAAACATACCAAACCAAAACATTTCCTGGAATGCTGCATGACAGTTTTTCTAATTTTTTTTCCTTTGAACCACAGTCAGTTTAAAAGTGGCTTCCATTTGCAGTCAAAATAATAATGGTACACATTACACACTCCTTGAAACATGATCTTTGTCATAGGCACTATGATTATATTTTTTTTCTTTTATTCTTACCAGTGAAAAAATAAACACAGTTGAAAATAGACAGCTTTTTCCCCTTTGTCAATGTGTTTAGGCTATGTGGTTAAGTGGTACTCTCCCCAGCTATGTAGATGAAGAAACTTTAAGTTGGAGCATTCATTTCTGTGTTCTAAAAAAAAGTGTGTATGTGGTGTTACATATATGTTTATATATTATTCACCAGCCCCAAATCCAAGTCCAGTGTTTATCAGTGATTTTATTGACAGCAGAATCAATTTTGCTGGTATTTTAGTTGTCTTATTTCAGTGAATGGTTCAAGACTTTCAGCTGCTAAAAAGGTTTCACAAGACTCATCCTACACATTAGGAATGCTCAGACTTCATGTCTACATGTTAGGTGCTGTTTCATGCGTATCTACATTTAAGGTAAACAGTTTTATGTGATATGGTCATCAATAGAAGAAAGTATGAAATCAGGTATAACTCCAGAATAGAAAATAACCTGTTTAAATGAAGGTTGATTGACTCTACTTTGTTAGTGCTCAGTAAAAAGTCCGAAATACTGTGTTTGTGACTATTAAAACTAGTTCTGCGAACCAATCACTCCACGTTTATTTTTGGACATTTTAATGTCCTTGTTCACTAAATGGCGAGGACTGAAAAGCAATTTAACCAATAAATCAGGCACATGAGTTGCAAAGGCAATTCTTCCCTTGCAGTTATTCCAACTATCCAAGCTGGATATTCACAGTGAACAGCAAACCATGTCTCCATTACCTTCATTCCACTTCTAAGTGTTTTTAGTATGGCCAGTTGCTCAGGAGTGCATCTGCAGACGGTGGGAGAGCAGCGCAGGGCACTGCCGGCTGTTCTGTGAGCTAATTAAGGAAGACAAAGTGCTGTGACCCAGATCCTACCCACAAGGACAGAAAGTTGCCCAGCAGCTAGAGTACCTCCTTAGTGCACTGGTGTTTGCACAGTGATGTGTTATTTGCTGAAGCTGCCTATATATGGTTTTACATTAATATGAACACAAGACTACTTAGTGGAGAAACTGAAATGAAACCCCAACTTTGTGGTCAATCTGTATAGGGTAACAGAGGAGACTTTTTTAAAGGACTATGGTTTGTATATTTTTACCCTTTTATCTCAGTCCAGGGATGGATGCTCATGTTTAGCATAGGAACCCTCCTCTACTGAGAAATGCAGTGTTTATTCCTTGCCTGACCAATGCGTGAAGCCTACAGGAGGCGGGCATGCTCTGGTCTCAGCACAGAGCACTGCCGGCAAGACTCAGGGGAGGACTGTCTTGCCAGCAAGCGATGTGGGGCTTTGTGTGACACCCAGCAATAGGGCGTCACTGTTGTCTATTCACCAGAAATGCCTGTTAGGCAAATGAAACCAAACTGCAAGTTGGGTGCTATCCTTAGCAAGAATAGCAAATGGGAGAGTCCATTCTGAGATGCTACAGACCACTGACAATTTAGAACAGGCTACCAGTTTACGTGCATGGCACAGTCTGTAAATGTATGTGATCAAATCCTACAGAGCCATTTTGGTGTTACTAGTGTGTGAGAATATTACCATACTAGTGGAAAGGTTTCTGGTAGCAAGCCCTTACTAAAAAGGCAGAGAACACCTTAGCTTTGCTTTGCTGTTCATAATGTTTTAATTTTTTTTAGTGTTTTACTTCGAAGAAAGTAAGTTTATTAAGATGAAAGAAAGCCTAGATAATCATACACACAGACAAAACCTGCTCAGATAATCCTCACCTGCTGGGGTATCAAATCTCTCTGAGGTCAGAATTTCAAAGAGTTAGTCTGCTGAGCGGCTTTGGGAGAAAAGCTGCCATAGTTAGCGGAGATGAAAATGCAGACAGGCTAACTTTACCTTCACTGTTTCACTATATAAAATACAGAGAAACAGCATAGAAGATTATATTTAAAATATAAACAAAACTGATAATATGAGAACATCAACATGACAGCCCTCTCACACCATCCATGCTTGGATTCTAATGCAAACAGTTGCTGCAGAATAAGATGGAGATTTTTGCTTGTGCACACACATAATTTCGGACTGTAAGACCCAGCTCTGTTCTGTCACAGGAACACTTCAGACCAAGGCCACAACTGAAGTCAAAGGATCAGAACCAGTTACTTTGCTAAAACCTGATCTAGGATGAAAACTCTAAGAAGAGTTTGGAAGGAGCTTCACCTATGCGATACTCAAGGAGAACATGTAATGAAGTAAAAAAAATGAAGTTAGTTGGAATCAAACTGCTTTAATACTGTTCAGAAATTATCCTTATGGACAGTGGCATTTCTGCTTGGATTGCTCCAGCTAAATTGTGAGTAACAGCTCAGTTCAAACCATGAGCTAAATCCTCAGAAACCTCAGAAATTCAGCACTTGAAAAGGATTCCAGAATTTGTAAATCACTTACTAAAAAAAATGATCTAGTGCAGATGACTAAAATTTCACTTACATGCAAGAGATCTCAGAAAGAAATGAAAGTGAGGTAAGCTTCTCAGATGTTGTGTCCTAGCATGACTCAAAATCCATTCCTCCTCTCCTGTGGAAAAAGCTGTGCCATAGCCAGTGAAGCTCCCTACCTATTTTAGACCTTTTGGCATATTGATTATTATTTGCATTCTGTTGTATCCTAGTACTGTTATTGGTATTCTTACTTTCCAAATATTTACACAACTAAGAGCTTATTCCATCCACATCAAAATGAAATGTACTTAAAACAGTGTTTGCCATATAACTCTTTTGATTGTTTTATAAGCTTTGGCATTTTTTGCACGCTAGGGGTCTTAACCTTTGGAGACATTTTAGTGTGAATCAGATGCAGAAAGCTTCACTTCAGGTGGCTTCTGGTCTTTGGTACTCTGCAGGGATCAGAGGCTTCTGGTCCTGCTTGCCCTGCTAATCGTCCCACAAGTCCTGACCAATGCTCCTACTGCCAAGCCATTCATCCTTCACAGGCAACAACATGCAAGTGATTGAGGTGTTAATTCATGGGAAAACACCAGAGGACTTGACACTAAAAAAAAGGATTTCTCATGGAGCCTACTGGGAAAAGGGAGCCGCTGTCTCTGCCTGAGCCATGGCTGTTTTTTGTGTTCACATTTGGCCACCTGAATATCCAGGTCAGACAAGTGGCAGTACTTTGTAGCATAAGCACACAAGCGGTGGGAGTTAATGTATGGACAAAGAAACCTGAAGAGGAGCGCTGACTCTGTGACTGGAAATGCTGGGAGTTGGTAGCTGTGAAAGAAGGGCAGGGAAGCACCCTGCAGCAGAGCCTGCACAAATCCTCTCAAGGGAAACTTCTCCTGCAAGGGCTACTTACAGCATGGAAATGGACGTGCACAGAATTTTGAAGGTTTTAGGCCTTCAATTTACTTGGTAGCTGTCCCTGCTGTCCCAGAAGTTAGGTTATAAATTCTATTATTGATTCCAATGACAAAGTAAATTGAACGTGAATAACGATGCTGAACTACTGTACATTCAGTGACATCTGAAGCTATGAGACAGCACAGAAGTGGGCCTTGCAATGCAAGAGCGAGGAAAAAGGACAAGATACCCAGTCACTACAGTGATGTGGTACAGCCCATGGCCAGTGTTAAGGAAAAATAAATACAAACTGCATGTAGGTCTGCTCCTGGCAGTGTTAGAGAATATATTACTTTTCAAATATATTACTAAAAGCTATAGTACAAATAGATAATTTCCATGCCACTTACATACATTAGATCCTATACTTTATTTACATTCTTCAGTCATCAGTAAAAAGCTATTTTTTATACCTATAATTGTCCCTTCATAGAAAAAGAAAAACAAACAAACAAAAACCTGTAGGTTGTTCTGCTGTTTATTTTTATATTGGGGAAAAGTTTCACAAGAACAGCCATATGGGGTCCTGGGAAATCACTCCCCTTTTAGAGGACTGCTGACCAAAGAGGACGGTGCTAAATCCTTTCAATTAAATAAGGCTGAGTGCATCCTGTCAGTGTACCATGATCATTCTGTCCCTACTGAAGATGTTGAAAATGGTGCTGTCATAATAACAAATCAAAACATTATTACCTTTGTTCAAGTGAACGATAGAAGTACTAACAATTTGGGAATTTCTGCCCCTTTTCCTTTAATCAAATATTGCTAACGTGGTTGTTAATAAATTCACGGAAGGTTTTTTTTGGCAGTTTCAACATACCAAAATGAGATGAAAACCCCTTTACGCTGCTCAGCATGCACTGGGGATGACTGCTGCCTCCTCCACTGCAGGTTTCCCCAGCTCTGGGCTCAGTGTTGGCTTCCCACTGCCAGCGATACGCTCCGTGACCATATTTCTTACAAGAAACTACCAATCTCTGAGGCCCAATCCACTAACTGCTGTGTAATAAAAATGAAAAACACCTCATGAATAAGTTTACTGCTGTAATAGCTGTGTCATTTTTATCTCATGAGTGAACTTTGTTACTTAAAATACAAAAATCCTGTTTGATAACGGTGATTTGGAGGTGCCATGACTAAAACCTGAAAAGTGAGTGTCCCAGGTGTTTTCATGTGGTTAGACACCAAAACAAAGGGAGCATAATCTTGCTGTCAATTTGCAGTAATGACACAGCACAAAAAGAAAAAAGTGTGTATCCCCTTATATTTTCAGCAAGAGAAAGAACTATAGTACTCTATGAATCGATCTTTGTTTTTTAAAGCTGAAAAATCTATACTAAATATTTGCTTTTTCCCAATCTGCTTGAAGATGAACATTTTAAATTCATGCCAAGATAACAAATCACTCATATAAACTCATTGTTTTCCCGAGGGAAAAACAGTTTACAGGGAAATTGTATTTTATTGAAAGGCAATTGATATTTATGCCCTTTTCAAAAACAGTTTTTATTCTGGGTCTGCTCCTTCAAGCTTTAATTTAATTTCCTGCAGCTAGGACTCTGAAAGAGTTCTTCTTTGGTATTCATTTTCATAACTTCTTTTTAAGAGCTCAAGTAACGTTCAAAATTAGACTGAAGGAATCTGGGGATGAATTGGGAAGAGGAATCTAATATTTATTTTTTTTCCTCCCTACGTGAGAAGTAGACATGAATTATCTAGTTGAACATTTTGATTCAGGAGCTAGTACATGTTTCATCATATACGTGCTATGGTCTCATTCTTTTTTTTTTCTTTTCTTTTTTTCCCAAATTTAAACCAGGCTCTTCAGAGGATTTTTATGAATAACATTAGAATTAGCTACATTTAAGTGGTGCTTAGTTCATTCCTGTTGGGGCCCAGTCAATGGTATTCAGCCCTTATAAAAGGATCAATTTGGCAAGCCAAGCACTTGGCCAACCAACCTTGTACTGCATGTAGTGAGGGTGTTTGCACACTGGTATGAGTCTGATTTTCATATGCAGAATGAAGATAGCTCCATAAATCTATGTAAAAGTCTCTGCATCTTGTGATAGGCTACTAAGCTTCATGACACTAAATTGGACATCGAGTAGGAGAGACTTGGGACGTGACTAATATAGCATTAATATATCAGCACTGAGTACAGCAGCTGAGAGCTTGGCTAGGTGACCAGCTACCAAAAGCATTTTGAACCAGTAGGTTTCTTTACCTAAATGTGATCCTTCAAGAATTAATACATTTCAGCTTTGGGTAATATGGATGAACTGAAGAGTTTTTCAGTGTTTGATGACATGAGATGTGCCCATACTCACCCACATTTCAAATTCAAATGTTGGGACTGTTCTACTGCTTTTTAGGGTTATTTTGGACTGTTTTGAAGAAGAAAAAATCAAAACGTTGCTTTCATAATTCTGCTCCCCAGCATTACACTGAATAGACGCAGGCTTCATCTGCTCAGTTCAGAGAAAGTTCAACTCCATTTAATTAGCTGTTCTCCCAGTTTACTCGAGTGTAGCACTGTGAGTGTGAATTTTCACACCAGACTACACTTGAACTTCATAGGTCAGATATAATTTTTAATTATGTTACAGGTAAATGATGGAGTTCAGAGCCTCTTTTAGGCAGATTACAGTCTGTTTCCAAGGCTAGGAACAGATGCAATTTTAGGAATAAACTACGTTTCGCACTGATATATCCCTTCTGATCTGCTGAGTTCAATGGGACCATAAGGTTCAGAAGTAAAGCAACATTTGGCCTACCATTTCAGCTGTTTCAGTGCAACTTTAAGGAATCTTTTGTGCCCTCTATGAAACTAATTGGCAGACCTCAGAGAAAATGCTGTCCCATTCACTGTAAAGCAGGAGGGTTCATGGGGGAAAACAGTTGCATCAGAGAAACACTTCACATCAAGGCTACCTATTTAGATGTTTGAAACCCCTTTTCTTTTCCTCTGTAAACCATGACAGCTTCAACAGGATCTGAAATGATACTCTTAACAAATAATACACTAGTCTGTCATATGGTTAATATTAACGTCTCTCTATTCAAACATGCTGAAAACTGAATAGAACAGTTAACATATAACAGTCACACATCCTTTGCTGAATACAAGATCGCATCTCTAACATGAACTGAAGATATCCTCACCATTTCAGATCTTCATCTGTCATTCAATCAAACATTTTATTTTCTTAAATACATTGCTCTTGCCCTCCTTCTGGGTCGTTTGGGGGTGCTGAGTGAACACATTCTCTCAATAAAGGCATTGCTTATGATATAGTTCTTTCTTCAACAGAAATCTTGCAGTGTGTTTCCAATACATTGCCAAAGGTGAGATTGCACAGTTTGCTAGGATTTGGGAGTAGGTAGGCCTTACAGTTGGATTGGAAAGATTTAGCACTGAAGCAGCTATTTGGGCAGGATTCTGCACTTTACTGCAGAGAGACCATCTCCTGAAGTTAATGGTAAACAATTATCTAATTGTGAGCACGCTTCACAGATTATTGACTCAGAGCTTTACACAGTAGCCTTTTGTAAATTGCAGGTATCTGTACAGGGCTTTTGGGCAGATGCAAGCTCACTTCGCTCATGTCCTGAGCTGGCAAGATGCAAACAGCTACTGGAAAATCACGCAAATGTACTGATGTGAAGTTGAGCCCCACCTAACACACCTCGTCTTTCAGAGGGTTTATTTGGTGAGGGCTTGGTGCCATGCTGACTGCAGGCAGCTCAGCTCATGCCCAGTGAGATTGTGCCCAGCCACCACATAGTGCAGAAATAGGTTGTGGAGAGATCGATCCCAGCCGAAAGTCTCGTCTTACTGCTACAAGAAAAGCTCTGTAGCTTTGAGGAAGGGAGTCTGAATGAAGCATGCTCCACCCTGGGGCATAAAGCATAGTTTGCCCTCAAATACACTTTTATTGAAAACACACAGCAAAGATTACAGCCATAGAAAGTTTTGTAAACAAGACAATTTCATCAACTTTTATCTTAAAAACAAAACAAAAAAAATCAAACAAAAAAGCACACACACATAAACAAAACAAACAAACAACAACCAAACCAAAATAAAATAAAAGAAACCCAAAATAAGACTTGCTGAATGAAGACTTGTGAATAGGATTTTTTTTAATGCCTTAACTAGGCACAAAATAAATGACATACACCTTCAGCATTTCTTTTTGAAATTTACTTGACAGAGGTTAAAATATTGCTTTATTCTGACTAAACATACAACAGCACTGTGTGATCAATTGTGCTATTTTGGGAAATCTTGAGACTTGTGAACTGGAAAGTCTGGGGCACATCTAATAAATTTAACAATTACTTTGCTGCAAAGGAATATTTTAATACATTCTGTATATACTGTAATTGTTTTAAAATCAATCTTCTGACATTAACCAGGGAAGGCTATTTGGTAATTATTTATTATAGTTCATCTTCTTTTTCTCCACAAATAAGCAAATATTTTAATACCAATAAAAACTGCAATGTGTGGGCCACTGAACCCAATTCATGGTGTTATTGGCATATTATGTTACAATTTTCTGGGGAGAAGAGGGACTCAAAAGAAAGCAAATGCAAAAAATGGTTATAATGCAATTGGGATACTGCAACCAGGAAACGGCATTTCTTCTCTAAGGCCTTGATCCCCAGCAGGAATTGATTTGGTGGAAACCATCTGCTCATGTATAGCCCCATCAGAATCAGCTGTGTGCGTGATCACGGGGCTGCCCATACTGTACCATCTGCAGGACTGGAGCTTTAGAGTTCACAAGCCTAAGCCACGATTAATTAAAGTGACTGAAGAACTGAAAGCGGGAGCAAATTAGGGCAGCATGGACACTTACCGGCTGGCCTTTGATCATACTGGACCTCCCTGATTCATCTCTGAACAACCCATAATAAAAAATAAGGTAAAAAAAATACACACACACTCAGAAGTGCTCCTTGAGAGCTTACAAATGCCTTTGAAGTATAACAACTTAGAAACGTTGAGGGGTTGGTAAGAAGGGGTTTACATTCCCGCTCTTACAAAAGAAACCAACCCAACCTGCTGCAGCGCACACTTTTGCACTTTGTTTCTCTTGTTCTTCTTCCACCAAGGCAGCTCTGATAGGCAAAGCTCAGAAGAAGACGGGGCAGCCATGGGCTCCTGGCCACTGCATCTCCAGAGGCCCCAATCCCACTCCACGCTCAGCCTGACCTGAAGCTCCTAGTCGTTTCTGCTGACTTTCTTATGCTGACTGACATTCTCAAGCAAGGTAGAGTTTAGCTCAGTTAGGGACTGGTGGTCACTCCACGGTTAGTGCCGAGAAGTAGCTGTTTGTGTGTTTGTTCTCTTGGGATGAACCTGGAGCCAAGAGGAGAGGGGGAGAGGGGACCAGGCCGGTGCTGGAGTTACGGGACCTGTGCCCCTGCCAGCACACGCTGCAGCACTGCCCTGAAACCAGAAATGAACCTAAGAAAGATCTTGGCCTTTACTGAAAAAAGGATGCATAGCCTAAGCCTTCTGACAGCCAAACAGGACAGTGTTAAAATGCTCTGTAACTGAAACTGTATGTATAATCCTGCCTAGAAAGCACCTGATGTACGCCTTATCCCTCCTGGAACTTTTCTTTCCCTTAAAAAAATATTTTGTTAAAAAACACTATGATATGAGGGCGATTGACTATTTGGTTTCTTCTAAGTAGATGCTCTTAAATTAATGCATATAAATAATTTGTATTTAATTTCCTCCTTTCCTGTTTAGCAAAGCATCAAATGCACAGATCTTGTTTCCCCTCCCACAACCCCCACACAAAGTCACTTGGTCAATACTGAGTCTCTTTGCGTTTCACTTTTTAAGACAAATTGTGCCTCTCGTTCTGACTTGGCCATGGGGCTCATGGGCAGAAACGCTGTGTTTTCACTCACGCTGCTCTCTGCTTCTACGCTCGCCAGTTCGTAGTCCTCTGACCTCCTTGCGTCGGTCAGAATCCGAATCTGCTCCTGCACAGTTTCTAGCAATATTTTCACTTCGTGTTGTTCTGCTATAAGACAATTACTGACTGGGGAACTCACATTGACAAGTTCAGCTGAATAAGAGTTTTTGCACCATTTGATGCCTGTTACTTCAGAAACATTTTGCATTTGCATGCAGGCTTCGTCCAAGCCCACAGATGGGATGATGGGAACTGAGTTGGCCCTTGAAGTTGAATATCCGACCAAGTCCTTCTGATCCACGTTATTAAAATAAGGGGTTGTTTCTCTTGAAGGCAGTTGCATATTTATTGAAGTATTCTGAGGAGTTTTTAAACCACTGGATGAATACCTGAAAAGAATAATAAAAAGAAAAAGGTTATGTTGCACATTGGGCAGTCAGATGTGACCAGAGGGAGGAATGTTGTATGAGAGTCAGTGAGCTGTGCTGGAAAGCTACATGGCTTTTTTGCCTTTTTTTTTTTTTTTTTTTTTTTCCCCCCCTTCACACTAGGAGCACTTAGTGCTAGTATGGCCCTGGGGAAAACAGCAGACTCTGGAGACCTGGCTTGTATTGTCAGGTCTGCCTGTGGCAAACCACTGCTTTTCTTTCTGTCCCATTTTCCCCACCAGTATATGGGAATAATGACAATTGCTTTTTAAATGCTTGCATGAGTTACACTGTATTATTATTATCGTGACTATTTTTCAAATCAAATTTGAAATCCCATTCCTTCATTCATAACTGGGGAAATGGATTGATGCTTTCTTGAACATCAAAACCCTCAATGTCAAATCACTGTTTCAGGAAAACATGTAAAAAGATGCAGAACAAAATGAACTTTAAACAAAATCCAGTTGGTCTCTTTATTTGCATGGAAACACATGCGGTCCCCTTCGGACACTCAGAGCATCTAAGTGCATTGTACCTCTGAAAAATGTGCTGTTCTTTTCAATCACCCATACTGCCAATGTTGATATGATTTGGTTTCTTAAGTCTCATCTGGAAATAATACATTGTGCCCTGGAAAATGTTATTCATCTTTATTTCAAGAAAAATCGCTTATCCTCCATTAACACATATCATAGTACGATTTCTTTTATTGTACAAGGCAACTTTGGTGAATTTTCATTGACACTTCCATTTTGCTTCACAGCCAAATTAATTGTTCTGATCAGAAAATGTTTTCATTTATAAGAAATACTTAAAAAAACGGAAATGAGAACTAAATATAAAGGAAACAATGCCAAAAAAAAAGATGTTTCCAATTCAGAAGTCTGACTAGAAATCCAGTGCTGTAAGAGTTAGTATTTCTACTAGTCATGATTACCAAAAACCACAGACATCACGTCCTCACTGGATCATATTTTATGTATCATCAGCGTTGTGATCATATCACTATTTAATAGGGCAAGCTAATGATGAAATTCAACATATTGTGTCCTTAGTCAAGGAAAGTAACATCTGGATCTAGCATGAGGCAGGTGTTTGAGTTTGTACATGAAGAATATTTTTCTGAATGTTGCTTAAACTTGCTGGACTTCCCCCAGGGATATCCTATTCACATGTGCCTCACTTCTTTTGGCATTAGCAGAAAGAGAACTTAGGAACAGGAATTAAAGAGTACAAAACAGCTGCAGTCTGATATTAGTGTACAGTGCTAATTAAGTGGAAAGGTTTCCTTTGGCCCCATCCTCCTGATAAGCTGTCAGACAGAAAAAAAGAGGAATAAATATCTTTAGGCTCATTTCCAGTAGAGTGCCACTGACTTGTAATTAGCTCATCTATTGTGGCAGTGTGTTTGTACAACTGCTCAACACATTAGCCCAGACACGTGCACGCGTGCACTGCTGTGCAGCCGCTGCACTACAGTTCCGCAGCAGTCTCCCCAGCAGAGCAGAAACCACAGCTGGGAACTCTGCGATAAGGAGGAGGCATTACGAACCTTGTTGCTATCTGATGGAATGAGATACTGCTTTGGGAAGTGGGACCCAGGGGAATAATGAAGCAAGTGGCTTGTGAGGATACCCAACAGCGCTTCTTGTACATGCTATACATGCTTTATGGCCGAACCAGGCGGGACTCAGCTTTTGGTTAATTATGTTTGTTCTGTGCTTAGACACACTTCTAGCCGTTTACCAAGGGCCTTTTCAAACAGTTTTTAAGAATCAGTATGAATGAAAAACTGATCAGCAAAAGTATTCCAGAGGGAGGACAACTGAAAAAAAAAAAAAAAAAAGGAAAACAAAAAAGTGCAGACCTGTGGGTTGTGCCCATTCTTGTTTCCTTTGCATTTGCTTATTATATAATTGTTCAATCGACTATAGCTGGAGGGATCTCATCAGCTGCGATATTCCCTTTTTTGGTAATTCAGGCCCTAAATATATTCTGGGCTGCACCCTGAAAACAAAGGGAGTGAATTTTTTTTAATGAATTTCACATGCAATGGATGTATTTATTATATGGATGATGTATGAGCAAAACCAAAAAAAGATGGAATTATCTGAATGGGTTTGGTGAGAAAACAGTAACATTTTGTAGTTCCACAAAAGGGATTCAGTTGTTCTTGGTATTTTGAAAACTAATTGGCAGCAACAATAACATGTAACATAATGCCTGGCATATTTCCATAGATTTTTTTGATCAATGCACCAAATTTATGCCAGAATTACGTTTCTGTCCTTTGCTCACAGAGCTTTCAAAGGAGGACTGAGGCTGAATTAAAGCATATAGTGTGTAACAAGTGATGTGTTAAACTAGTAGGGATATGACTTCTGAGCCATGTGAGAGCCAGATTTTGGTTACAAACAGGTCCGTGTTTCTACTTGTGACACCAGACTGTTGCTGTTTTCAACAGAGACTTAAGTTTCAATAAGTATTTATAAGTGAAGAACCATAATTACTTTTTTCCTATAATTAAATTTTCCCAGAACTATAGTTTCCCTTAAGAAAGATATCTGTATCATTTTTATCTGAAAAAAAAAAAACACCAAAACAAGACAAAACATTTTCTGTCTGAATAAATTCAAGCATATGCATGTACTTCAAAGTGCAGCTCTGTCCACCCTTCCTCCAAGCAAAATGAAAAATGCAAACATATATCAATCTGCAACAGTAAATATCGGTTACACAGTTTTCAAGAGTTTGCATCAAAGAATGAAGCTGAAAGAAGCATAATAATTATACTGCCCCTTAAAATAGCCATTAAAGTGAGACAGAAGAGATCAGAACTTTAAATACAAAATGGGTTTTATGCAGCACAGCACAAGCAGCTTTGCTGTAAGGCCTACTGCTGTAGGTGTTCACTGCATACGCTTGATGGCCAAGTCCATTGTGATGAATGGGAGTCATTGCAGTGGCAGTAACAGGCTTCAGTTCAGCCCTGTAAGCACATGCACCTGTATGTTTACTGGTACACAGCACACGGTTATCTGTAAACACATTTCTACCTGTATAAATGCACATTTGCAGACACAGGACACTACTTCTAGCAGCTAACACCAAGTAATGCAAACAGCTGTTGCTGAAAGCACAGGCTCAAAATGCTGTCCACCTCCCTGCGTGCACACTGGTGACACCCTGAGATATTCATCAGGCTCTGAGAAGTGAGTGCCACGGAGATGGTTTGTTTTCCTTAAGCCCCTCATTTCAAGCAGGTATTTCTGCTGCTTTGAGTAGCATACTGATAAATTGACTGGTATCAGTTGTATTTGACTTGAACTCTGCAAATGTTAGATTTGCAAATAATGAGAGCTGGTGTTTCCTCACAGCAGCAAAGGGACCACAGCTTCTGCAGGGGCAGGGAACGTGCTCAGCTGGGCTGGAAAACTATTGAGAACACCAACAATCTGAAACTGGGGGATATTCAGGTGGTAAGATGCAGATTTGGGGAAAAACTGTCCCTGGAATTTCACAGAAAGTAGAATTAGCGAATCAATTTTTATTTTTGTTCAGACATAAGTTGTGTATTTATATTTTGGTTGAAGAGTGTTTCATTACTGTGTCACATGCAAAAAGCATTGTTATTCTCTTTAAAGACTTCTTTTTAGTAAAAGCCATCATCAGTGAAACACTGTAATAAAGCAAGATCAAAGATTTGCTTTTATTTTCATGCCTAACATTGACATCTTTATATTTACTTCTCACGCGCACTGGTTTAAGGATGTTGGTATCAAACCAATTTAAAATGTTGGATGTTGGTATCAAACCAATATAAACCAGACAGACGCATACTGCCATGACTCCCTGTCACTACAGCACCTGCTGATGTATTTGCAGGGCTCTTTCTGAGGAAAGGTCCCACTGTTAGGGGCAGTAGGAAGAAAGTGAAATCCTACAGACATGCACAGTGCAGAAAATAAGGATGAAGTGCTTCAGGGATTGAGGCCAGAAGAGGTCACAGCGCAGTTGAAAAGTCAACCTTTTGCAGAGTGGCAACAAGCCAGTGCAAGATGATACTTTTAATATCATACCCTGATTTCCTAGGGAGGAGTAAATACAGCTAACACACAAGACAGCTTTGCTGTGTTTTCTACCTCACTTCTCAACCTGGAAGAAGCTGCAGCTTTCCTTCACAGCCTGTGTTGCAAGACACTGCCATGTGGTAGCCTGCCCATAACAGTAAGGATTGCATTCAGAGTCAAAATTTTCTTAAGGAATTATAGATACATTATTGTACAAATGAACAACAGTATATTTACTATAAGAAGTATTAACGAGTTTGTTGGCTTTTGAAGAAGCCAACAGCAACAAATGAAAAAAGTATGAGATAAATTTGAACTTTTGAGCAGAAGTCTAGAGAAATCCAAAGCTTTTGCTGATTTGTTTTCTTCCATCCTAGGCAAGCCCCACTTGTAGTCTGCCTCCGCCAGTGACTGTGGCCAGCTTTGTTGGACAGATACAGCTACAAGAGATCTAGTGAGCAAACCGCTCTCCCTCAGGGTACCACGGGCAGGGACACCAGCTGCAGGCTGGAGAGGGGCCAGAGGAGCTGGGGGGACATGTGCTGCCTGCCTCTGCCCACCTGGGTGCACACCCTTCACCTCACTTAGCTGGGACTTAGCATGTTCAAATGAAACCAGGGTTATCACAACCCACTGCAGGCATTCCTGCTAGCACTACACGTAGTGTGTTTGCAATGATTTCGGGAAGCCTTTGGAAATCTATAGGGATATGTAAATATTATGCAAAACAACTTGGCAATTGCAAAAGACTTCAAAGGCAGCTGTAGGTGCTCGGGAGCACTTCTGAAATTCAGACCTTATGTACAGCTGGAGATGAATTAAAAAATAAAAAATATCATGTTCTTTGTGTGTGTTCAAAGACAAACCCGTGTGAAGTGGTTGGTCTTCAGTCTACAGCAAACACACAATCTACAAAGATTTAGTTAATAAACATGAAAGTTGGCCTTCTGAATTATTTCCTCTCATTTGTCCAGTACTGATGGAAGAAAGTTCTGTGCAAAAGTTACTAGAACTACTTTTCCAAGCAGTGCTGTGGAGTACAGTGTTGGCAGTCACTTAGCGCTGGGCAGCCAGGTAAAAGCATGTTACCTCCAAAGTACCAGCCAGTACGCAAAAAACATTTGTCTGCTTTCAGCGCTATGAACTGGACCCAAAGTACACTACAACAAAGCTGGAAGGACCGTAATAGCTAAGCATGTTAACTACCTAAAGCATTCACTAACAAACTCACTATGGTTATTTTATTACTTACCCATGACAAGGCATTGTGTCCTGGTCTGTGATCCTTGACTCTTCTAGCTGTTGATATGCTGGTCCTGTAATTCCATTGAACCTACCCCGAGGTAAGGGAGGAGTCCTCCGAAAGGCATTTCTATGTAGCATCCCACTTTTTTGTCCTGGGCTGCAGCATGAAGAGAGACTTCTAGGAACAACATCAAGGGTACAGTAAAAATTATCACAGCAAAAGCGTAAACTTCTGCAAAGTAAAGATTCAGAATTAATAATGCATGGATTACGGATTTTATAAACTTTGCAGTGACAGTCTACGATGTCAGCAGAAATTCTCTAAGGAAATCTACTGCTATAATCCACAGCTAGCTGCTGTTTACGCCATATCTAATAGATCACAACCCTTCTAGGAATGAAAGTAATTGACTGGTATATTAAATGTTTTCTCGTACTTGAAGAAGGATGCTTTTTTTTTTTCTTCCCCCCCCCCCCCCCTTTTTTTTTTCATCCATGCTGTGTACCATAATCCTGGTGTAAGGAGTTGAACCCTCAGACAATGAAAATAAACAGCAGAGCTCCATAATACCTAGACCTGAACTCAAAATCAGATCTTAAATTTAAAGTCCATTATATCACCTATCAGCTTAGGGGTCCTGCTTGCTGATATAACATTACATTGGAAAAAAAAATATATTAATGAAGCTTCTGAACTCCAGCTTGAAAAAACATCTATGATACAAGTTTCCTCCATTTTGACAAGATTTCTTTTGATACTGTTTTATTCTTATTTTATATACATTGATATATGTTTGCATTATATACATTGATTTTATTATTTTTACAGATATTGACAAATACAGAGATGTTTCTTTATGTGATATAAAATATAAACTGTAATATGATAAAGTAATAGTTTTCTGCTTATTTTTAGAAAATTGCTTTTGTAAGCAACATTTTTATAGTGTTTCGGAAAAAGAATGGATTTTTTCCATGTCATACAGAAATTAAAAGGTGTCTAGAATCCACGTAGCTGTGTTATATTAACCATAAATCCAGCTGTTTCTAATGGAAAAATAAAGGAACACACAATTATGTCAAAACATAACCTATTTATACTGGTAACAGGTCACAGTACTGCACAGCATGACTAGCTATTCATTTGCCAGCTACTCCCTATTTCTCTTCAATGGGCCCTTCTTCTCCGGGTTTTCTCTTCTCCCTGGTCTCAGAAATGTGTATGTATTATCTAAGATCCTGTCACATCCTTAATGATGTTTTAGTATAGGTTTCATAGATGCTCTGTAAGAATTATCCTTGGTTAGGTGAATAATTTTAACTTCTGACACAGTTCATCTATGCAAAAGACGTTTCCTATATTTACCTCTCCTATTGTAACATGGCTTATTAGCAATCTGCATTTTATACCTAGTGGAAACATTATTAATAGTTAGCGTCACGTCTACTCCTCAAGCAATTCTTGCTTGGATCAAATATCTTGGACAAATTCTCTTGGAACATACATTTTCATTAAAACATAACCTTTCTCCTCAAAGTGAAAACATACAAAAGAAACCCAACAGGCTCTACTCGAACTACCCATGTTCGATTATGGTCTCTATTCTGTTCTCTTCACGCTTACGCTTTCTTGGTGTTTTTTAATTGAAAAGATCAATAACCCATAGCAATAGCACTCCCTTGAGGACTTCTGATGCTTCCTTAAATAGATTTTTCTTTAGCTATTATGAAGGCTGCAAAAAAACTTGAAACAACAAACCACGTTGGAGTGAAGTACTGGCTTTTCAATTTGGAAGGCTGGGTTCAAACTGTGAGATACAGTTCCTACTCTGTAAAATAACATTACCACATCATAAAACAATTGACAATTTCTGCTCAGGAAACAGATTATTAGATCAGGGAGTCTTAAAAGATGCAGCTGAATGAATAATTCACAAAGGCTAATGAAATTTAGTGGTTTTTTTTTGTTTTGTTTTGTTTTTTTTTTGCGTTATTATTGATTGCAGTATATTCATCAATGTACTAGGAAAGTCAACAAACTGATTATAACTTAACAAACTTTGGACTGATTGCAGATATTTGAAACTAGAAAGGCACTGTTAAATTGTAGTTGGTTTGATGCTCTTGTGCATCTTCCCTGCTGGATGAGAGCACATGGGCACGCATGTGCAAATTCATGTACACACTGTGTCTGTAACAGATGTAATTGCAACACATACATGTACACCTGAGATAATTTGGATAATCTGCATGAAAGATGCATCTAATGCCCTATGTAGACTTCCTTCAGCTTGTACTGAAACTCCTCTCGCTCCCTCTGCTGCCACATCCTCCATCCCACTAAAGGAGCATGGGCCGGTTGGGCTGCAGTGATCTAAGCACAGGCCGGCATCTTCCTGCAACCGCAGCAGCTGCAGCACCGACAAGCCTTGAGAGGCCAAACTGTTGCTAATGTTAAATTCTCAGGCTTTTGGCGTTTCTGACTGAAAAAAGGAGGTGAAAATGAACACAAATCATTTGTACGACTGGCCAAAGCAAATTTACTGTGAAATACTGGGAAATCCTATGAAAATGTGACTCCTTTTTCCCCAAACTGTCCAACTGTGTCTTCCTCCAATAACTCTAATACAGTCTCTCTCAGGCTTCTGCTCTATTGCTCATGTGAAGCCTTCCCCTCTCTGAGGCAAACAAGGTCCTTATAATTTTTCCAGGTTGTTTACCCTTCTTTAGTCACCTTTATATTTTCATCCCTGCTCTGTACTCCAGTCTACGTAGATAGAAGAGACCAGTCCATGAAACTGGGCTGTTCAATAAAGCAGACCAACAAGGAAAGCTGTAGCAGATATGTCTCCGATCTCTTGATTAGTCAAGAATAACAAAAATCAGAATAGGTCTGAAATGATTCACAAGTAATTAATAAACTAGGGAGAAATTTAGTTCTTATGAATTAATGGTTTGAAATAAAATTGTTTTATGTGAAATTGTCTTTAGGTTGAGCAACTGAGTTAAAACAAAGATTGTCTCAGGAAGTGGACTGTTCAAGACACATACGCAACTCCCAAGTGCATTACCTGTTCATGAAGAGGAGATGACTTGTAGTGAATTTACAATAATGCTGGGAATCATCCTGTACTATTTTTTAGTTAATTACTAAACAAAATTGATTATACATCTCATGAACACAATCAAAAGTACCTTTGTTAACAGAAACATGAAAAGTACTAACAAGAGGAGCACAATTAAAATGTTAAAACTTTAGATGGGAATCCCTTCTTATTTAATAAGGACAATGGAGCTACAGAAATATTGCTTACAACAATGTCTATCTTTATTTTATTTATTTATTCTTTTTCCTGCCTCTTCAGTCGTGTTTTATCTTGTGATGACAGCAACTGTCACATCATTTTGATTCCCATCAAACTCTTCCTTGGTACATCTTGTATTCCTTCTATGTCTCTGCCTTCACATTTTCCCTGCGTTCTCAAGATGCCCCCTGGTGTCCCACTCTGAATTAGATATCCAAGAGAAAGATGCTAAAAAGATGCCAAAAACATTTAAATGTTCTCTCTTCCTGCTTTGGTGGTTTTGTTTTAAAAACTTTGTTGAGCTGCAATACATGAACAGAAAGATGCAAAGCAGAGGAAGGAAGGGAAGTTCTAAAACTGATTGTAAATACTCTGGCTCTGTATCTGCAAAAACTATACAGAGAGCTATATTATATTACATACAATATTCTGTACTGATAACAAGATGCAAATATTGCTAAGGCTGAAAGCCGTGCTGCTTGCCCTTCCAAGAGAGGAACGGTAAATACAAACCCCAATGACAGAGCTAGCTACCACATAAACAGTATTTTTTGATACTCCCTGGGAGCCACATTTTTATGCTAAATACACTATCTATAGCTAACACTTGTTTAGATCAACTATCTATACAGACTTTCAACCAATTTTCCATTTTAATAAAAAGGATCTGTTCCATCTGAGAACATAAGCATCTCTCAATAAATACCATGTGGCAGCATAATACTGTATCATGAAGTCCTTTTGGCAGACTGCTAACAAGAATGAGATGACAAAGAAACAGTGAGTCTACTGGAGTCCGTGTCACAGAAAGCCCCCAAAGAAGAAAGTTAACATCACTTTTTAACTTCAACAGATCTATAAATCTGTATGTGACTTATGTGACTGAAGTAATACTAAGAATGTAGAGATTATTATGCCAAAAAGCTGTGACATAAGCAAACTGAGAACTTTTACTAGTCTTATATATATATATATATATATATATTTATAAATCTCAGTAGCATCCTATATTTATTCCAAGCATTTCATACAATCATAGAATAGCTTGGGTTGGAAGAGACCTTAAAGCTCATCTAGTTCCAACCCCCCCGCCATGGGCAGGATACCATGCATTAGATCAGGTTGCCCAGGGCCTCGTCCAACCTGGTTTTAGCAATCATGTAACAAGACACCAGAGATTACTTTAGGAGAACATCTAATCTACACATATTTTTCATTGTGCCACCATACTCTTTCATTTTCAATTGGTCTTTTACTTCTCCTTACGCTTTCTCTGAGGTATTTATAAGCAGCTGCCATATACTCTTTTCAGTCTTCATTTACTACACCAAGACAGACTCTCTAATCCGTTCTGTGGAACACAGATTATTCATTCCTTGTATTATTGTATTAGCTCATCAGGCAATTTGAGCTCATACTAATCAGGAGGCCATTTTAAATACACAAGATACAATACACTGGTGTGTTCTCATGCTATATTCAAATGTGGTGATATCAGTGTCTCATGAAGTAGTTCTAAAATTTCTGACTTTCTGATGGAAATGTCTTAACTAATACTTCCTCCCATCCCATTTACCTTTTGCACATCTGTGTCACTTTGTGACTTATTTATCCTTTCACCGAATAGCATATACTGAACCTTTTCTTCCCCATTTGTTTCTCAATATATCAGATAAAAATTTGTTGTTAGTTCCCAAATGCCTGACCTTGTATTTATTATTGCAGAGTTTTGATCTATCTGCATTACTCAACTTCAAGCATGACCTATTGTTCTCTGTGATATTTTGTTTCTCTGCCTACCCCCCTACACCCTAATATCTTTACGCCATTTTCCATTTTTTTTAAAGTAAACTTTTAAAAGTTTACTTTTTAAAAGTAAACTTCTCCAGAAAACTGGGGTGGGGGGGGGGGAAGGAGGGAAAGGAGGGAGTGAAGTACCAGATTCTTTATACTTTCTCCCATCTCAAGCTTCCTTGGTTGCATTAGTTTATCAGTATTTGTTCTTTTTAATCCAATAACTTTATTTACATAATAGCTTAGATTTACTATTCCATTTAACGTAAACTGAATCAATTATACAGAGAGCATAAAGAGTAAAATGCTTGCTAAGACTATAATATGGTTTTAGCATGGTTTTTATGGAGTTAAAAATTCATTGAAAATGCAACCACAAATTATTTTACAATTTGGAGTACATTTTTTGTATTTTGGTGCCTTTGCAAGACAATACAACTGCTTTAAACCGAAAGCCTCTGCATTTGGCTTTCATCAAAGCATTCTCTGAAATGAATCCCTCTAAAATCAATGATGAATGAATCGATGAAGGAAAGTCAGTATGACTAATTACCAAGAAAACTGCTACTCAAAGGGATCACACATCGGTCCGAAAGTTAACAAAACCGTAATTTGTTTCTATCAGTTAGATACAAAGACAGCAGGGTTTTTTCTTAGTGAAACCAACAGATAACCTGAGATGAAACTGAGCATACTGAGTAAGTTTACTCATTAAACATACTTGTTATTTTCCAGTTCTAGGAATATTATGGATTGTTTTACATATGTAAGCAGATGGTGTAAAATTCTACAATATTAACAGTGCATAAGACAGGAAATACTTTAGGAGTAAGATGCAGTGGTGATTCAACTCTTTCATCTCTATTGTAATTCCTTGCATGCCACTGAGGTTGGCAGAGTGAGAAAATTGTTATTATCTAGTAATCTGAGTGAAATAACCAGATGATCTCTGTCAGTCAAATTTCAGCAACCCAGAATGATTTCCTACCTCGATAGTCTTACTGTCAGGCCAAAATTGCATTGGTTTTAGAAACTGTGAACAGACAGCTACTGATTTAAGAAATAATCACCCATCATTAATACCCTCGGAAGCACCAACAGAGAAAACAGTTCTAGTCATGGAACAAAATATTTCCATAGTGAGTGGAAATAGAGCAGTAATAGTTTAACAATAGTGTAAAATAGAGAACCTGGAGAGCTGCTATAATTTTTCCAGGCTCATGTGATTTTGAAGACATGATACTGCACTTGCTCTATTTTTCTCTAATTGTCCATCTTAGGGAGACCTAAGAATTTAAGCTAGTATCACTTCAAGCCTATGTCACTGCTTAGTTTGGATGAAACACCTCAATGGAATGAAATGAAGGGATGGTTAGGACAAAATGCATCTCAGAGAAGAAAAAAAAGAGAAAGAAAAAAGAAAAAAAAAAAAAAAGAAAAAAAGTTTAATCGTTTAGCCTTATTTGAATACATAAATAAGTGCTAATTGTACCTAGATTGTGATTTAATAGATGGACATCACAAAAATGAAATGGAAGGGGAAATAAAGCTATTTCATACTGAACAGTAATTAGAAACTAAAGAAACTGAATAACTTAGGAAGCCGTCACATGATGCATAAATCAAAGATAGCCTTATAAGTCAGTGACATGTTGAAGTCTGTTGCATGTTTTATAAAGTGAGGTCCTTGTATAATAAATCTTAAGTTATAGAACTACAAAAAGAATATAAATCAAGCTAGTGATTCCACATCTTAAAAGCAGTTCTGAAGAAAAGACTCTTAATTTAGTCCAGTGTTTGACATCTGAAAGTATAAAACTATATATTTTTCCCTTAGTAAACAGAGATTTTGGTGCATAGAGGTGTTAAAATAAGTACTTTGGAATTCTGCATTAATTCACTGTAAATTCTGTGAGACTTATTCTTTATTTTCCCTATGGAAAACAGAATCCAGAGTCATTCAGCTTTCAAGAAGTACTCATAAACAAGAAATATTTTTAGCCCTTATTTCCACATTTTAATCTTAATAATGTAGTAATGTAGCACCTACATAATTTCAAGTTTGAGTGTTGCAATAATGTTATTAAAGATAAGTGAATGTCAGTGTCTTTTCTTTAAACTTCACCTTTTGACTAAATTGAGATAAAAAGTCTCCCCAATGCTTCAAGTGGAAAGCATTCTGACAATAGTTACAGATTTCATCTTATGCTTAGTAAAATTACTAATTGTGTATAAAAAATCTGTGTGGAATAAGGAAGAAGCCCTAATAAGTGGATCTGACATGATATTACTGGTATTACAAGTTGGTATTACTTTTTCATGCCAAATTAAAGGCTTCAGTAAGACAAATGTAGATAGGACCCAAATATCCTTTCCTAGTTTATATGGTGAATTTTGGTAGGCTTTTTATTCCTTCTCTTTTCATTCAAAGAAGAAGGAACATGTAGCTGACTGGGAGGCTGCAATAAAAGTGCCCTCTCCGCTTTACATTAGATGCCACAGAAGTTAGATTACTACCTCATGCAATCCCAGACTATTTTTTAGTAACTTTAAAATGCTGTCCTTAATTAAAAATTAATAAATCCTTCCTTTTAGATTACCTAGCCAAAAAAATTCTTATCTAATTTTTCTCAGCCTTCCTTCTATCTCAATCTGACATCTGAAACACATTATTGTTACAATTCCCCCAACCATACTGCTTATACCAATCACAAGCTTGATTTCTAGTCCTATAACAAAGCATCTGCACTGTTTTTCACACAGAAAGGCTAAAAGTAGAATTCTAACCCAAATGCCACCCAGTGATGATTGACATTCCTCTTCTTTTACTCCTGGAAAAAACGTGCATCCAAATTTTGTAAAGACTAGTTTTCAAAAACCACCATATGTTCACAAATAAGTCATTATTAATTTCAAGTACTATTTGTTTAAAGAAAGAGTGAGAAAGGCTGGAAGTTTTCATGCATGCCTTTCTTTGGAGAATAAGTCATTAACTTCAGGAACATTGAGAAGAAAAGTCTTGTTTTTAATGATTTCTCAAACTAGAGTTATTTCATTTGGTGGTCTGTCTCTATAGCTGGGATGTCTTTTAATGCTTCCTCTAGGACCTTTGCAAAACATAGTTGGTGAGCGCTTTTAATGCCTTTTATGTCCACAGATAAGAAAATGCTTGGACATCTGCTTAATGAGTAGGCTAAGGCTCTATTAGTATCATATGGTTCTACACATCTCCCAGTCCCGGAGCACAATAATCCTGTCCGTGTATCACCAGTTCAGCAACATCTCTCGGCAGCCTGCCATCAGACAGCCATTTGCTTACCTATGTTGCTTGATGGGCTGGGTTCCTCTGTCAGGAGACAAGGCCTCTGGGAAAGACTGAGGGCCTGAAAAGCTAGACTCCATAACTTTGTCCAGAACAGGCCCAGGATGCCTATCTGGTTTGGAGTACTGCGGCACAGAGAACAAAATTAATTAATACATAAAAAACAAAATACATTGTTGATGTTAGTCAGTCAGAACTGAAATTGGTTAGAAGTGCTAAAATACATTTTAAAATTAAATCAGGCACTGCAAATAATCCATTCACTATTTACATAAGCAAAGAGCACCGATACTTGTTATCCCCACTACCTTCTACACAGCAGAATACTGATATCTGCATTGGTAGCAAAATTACTGACTAATCTTCCCACAATGACAGGGAAGACTGATCCCTTTGAATAAAAGCCTACTTTTGTGCTTGTCCATGCAAGGACTGAGATCACAAAACACATCTCAGAGGATGTTCTGCACCTCCTTGTGTCCTTTGGTAATTTCAGTCAAACATTGCTTTCATCAATATGCATAACTATGAAAACCAAACCAAAACAGCTTTTGTATCATCAGATAAGTAAGAAAAACATTTGAATCCTATCTGTAGCACCAGACATCCCTTTTGGACAAATCTGCGCCTGAAACTTTTAACCTGGGAGTATCTGTGCTAGTAATATCAGTGTAAACATAATTCTTCTTGTGACAGTTGTAGGCGTAGGGCAATCTCCGGGCACACAGTGAGACACAAAGGTCTGTAAGGCAGACACTGGACGTGAACAGGAATGGATTTTCTTCTTCCTGCTTTGTGATTCAACTGGAAATTCAGCAAAAATTGTGTCTCTGATCCTGAATAGAGCCAGGAAGTCAAAGCTGCATTTTGGCTTGAAAGAAGAATCGGTGTTGTTAGTGGTTACTGGGCAGTATCTCAGAGATATGAGTGGTTAACCCACGTTTCCACAGAGGTATGGAAAATATTACACTTGCAGAGTTTTTATGCTGTGTTGTGATGACCTGCAGTAAACATAATTGGTCTATTTTTCTTTAATCTATTTCTCTCTGCATTGAATTTGTATTTTTAGTACTAGATATTTGTTATCTTTACAATAAGCTGGTACTGTGGATGCTATTACATGACTAAATATTTTAAAAAGAAAATACAACATAAACTAAAAAAAAAAAAAACACAAAACAAAGATCACAGTGGAGAAGATAGTAAGATTTCTGCCACAGCACAGATCTTTTTCACAATTACTTTGTTGTCTAACAAAAGACGAAGGAAGAACTTAAAAATATATAATTATTTTCTGATTCCCATTTATTCTTATCTACATTTCTCATGAGTTCAGCAAAATCATAAAGAATGACATGATTACTCTCTTTTAACTGGGTTAAATGCAATTTCAGCACACCTACTCAAACTGCTCATGACCAGTTTCTATTGATAAAATAACATCTCCAATTTTTTCTCCTGAGCTCCTCTCCCTTTTTCTGTTGGGTTAAATATCCACAGAAACAGGGCCAAAATAACTGCTTACATGCTTTTGAAAGCAAGGTGGCAATATGCAAAATGTTGCTGTGCACAAAGTAAACACAACCAAAATAATAAGAGGAAACATATTCCACTCATATTTCTTTCAGCTACTATGATCTTAGTTGTCACTTGTAACCATTATAGATAAAGTATTCAGACAGAAGTATGACTTTTAAGGTGCTCATGTCTGTGAAAGTTTTAAACTTCAATAGTTATTCTGCCAGCTGCAGAAGTGACACTGATTGCTGACCTGAATAAATCAATTTGAGCTATGTGAAACATAGGTTGTTAGCACCAGGAAGCTGTTTCTGTTCTTTTTCGTGTTTGTTCATGATATTAAATTGAAGGTTCAAATGGCTTATAGGACCATGATTATGAAGTCCAGCACAGAGGGTACGTAGCGATAAGCTATGTCTTTTGCCACATCCACAGTTAGAGTGGATGTGGGCTGGAGGGATCGCATACAGAGTCTTTTTTCTTTACATCTGAGGAAAAACAGGACCCCCGTGAGCTGGTTCTGACTAGCAAACAGCCCCAGATATCCAACACCCACCACTGCCCAGGTACAGGTGGCTCTTTCCCGCTAACCATTTCGCTTAATCAATTTTCAGAAACACCGCTTACCAATTACCACAACAGCCATAATGTTGATTACAATGATAAGATGAATCACAATTTGAACTAAGGGTGCAAATATATGGAGAATTTGAACAATCAATGCAATTGGATTTATTTGGACGTATCACACATCATCCATAGACTTAAACACAGTTGGGTTTACTCTTCTGTAGTTTAACTGTAAATGCCACATCCCTTCTCTGAGACCACCCCAGAGGAAAACATCTTCAGGTTTCTGGGAGAAGTACATGTACAGCAGCATCAGTCATTGCTCCCAGAAGCAGGGTAGGGGATCACTACCCATCTGTATCTTGGCGGAGACTGTCCCACTGTCCCAAAGCCCAGTTCTCACCCAGGCTGCCCATCCCGAGCTGCCAAGCACACAGCCACTGTGGAGAATAAGCTGTGAAACACTTTCAAAGGACAGTTCCAGGAGGTTGGAAGCATCACTGAAAGCTTATCTGTATTATTATTTGTAATGGTTTTATTGTCTTCTTGGTTAATTATTTGTGCTTGTTTGAGCAATTACTGAGAAATGCTGATGCATATGGCTAAATAAATTAAAGAATAATGATAGCATTTAAAAATAAACCGTTTTGCAAATTTTCAATTTTTCACGGTTTCATGGAGAAAATCATCTGTTATGTACAATTACTCAAACTCTTTGACAATAAAATTCCAGCCCCTGCTAGTTAAAGCTAAACAAGTCTGCAACGACAGCCTGGGCAGGGAAGCAAGAAATCAGCCTCTGCCTCTGACCTGCTGTACCACTGTGAACACATCATCTCCCTGCTCTACATCTTGGACTATTTCTAAAATTTAGGATCCATAGGTGACAAATGCTACAGGTGCTACAGAATAGCTAGACACTGTTGTCCTAGGCTTCTGCAAAACAAATCAAGCTCCCCTCCAGCTTTTCTTCTCTCTTACTCCTTGATTTTCCCTCAAATGATAATAATAATGATAATAATAATAATAAAGTCAATATATGCACACAACATTGAAAGAGAGGTGATGTGGGGATGCCAATTCAAAAAGGACTGAGAAGGCAGAGGGGGTTCAGCTTTAAATTACATTCAGAGAGCATTCCTCAGAGAGGTGAAGAGCCTTTTCTCGATGGGTTGGCATTGCAGAACCAACCTGTCAGCTGGAATATTTAACATCCTTACAGCTGTTCCCATATGTTATGTGCTCTGTTGCCAACGCTCTATACAGAGGCCAGTAAATTCAAGTTTGTCTATTTTGGCAGTTCTTCCAAAGTTGTCACAAGTTATTGAAATAGGAAATTTGCTCTTGATCTCTGCTAGTAAATCACACCATAACTCAGGCAAAAACACACAGTGATTTTTTAAAAGAGTTAAATGTTTCTGTCTGGTGTTCAACTGATATTAATTGCATTTCTATCATAGTGACTAATATATATATATATACACACATTTTACTATCAGCAAAAGGCAACAAGGCACAAAAAAAGCATTTTGTCCTCTTGCTATAAGGATATCAGAAACCTGTACCCAATGACTGCAAGCTGTTAGAAACAAGTGTAGTGAAAAGTGAAACCACACACTACAGCATGAAAAGCATATTAGGCACCTCAGAGGGAAAGTGATGGGGAATGAATAGATCCACTTACTACCATGGGAGAAGGTATTAAAATCCACAAGGGTGAAAAAGGCCATGACAACTCTCAAAATCACAGAAGGAATGGAGGTGTGGCAAGCCTGCTGCTTTGCACCCCACCCCACCCCACCATTTCAAGCTAATTGATGGAATGGCAGACTCAAACTCCTTGGACACCTTTTGCTTCACCTATACTTACACTGTACATGTATTATCTAGCTTGTGTGCCAACGCCAGATGTTTGATGTGAATGTGCTTGGAGTAGCTCTGTGCTAAGAATGACTATACTGGTAAAAGATGGCTTGACCTGTTGTCTGGTTCATACTTGGCAGAGGCACGGTGCACAGCCTGGACCTGGGTTTAAGTCCCTGATCGCTACAGCAAACCTATTCTCTGTTGCATGCCAGGTGGACCTATTCTTTCCCAACTTTATTACAGTGCTGTATGCTGGCATCATTCATTTAGGATATTTTTAGAGGGTCCAAAAATCGGAATGGTAACCTGTTAGTATTTACCAGAGCTCTTGAAGTACAGTTGCTGCAGAGCTTTAACAGTTTTTATGTTTGCTGCTCTTCAGAGACTTTCTGGGAATGCTTTCAACAAAAAGAATAACGAACAGGAGTGTAAAGCCAAGTCTATACCTCCTTGTAGTAGGGGGCTACCTAAGGCTGCAACACCAGAGGCTTTGTAATTCCTACTCATGGTGCCTGACCTGTAGAATACCACAATGTGGCTGTTCTCCCTCACTTGTATTTATTCTGATAATCACAGAAAAGGAAGGAGAAAAAAAATTAAAAAACAACTTCTTAGATTAAGGAAGTTCTAAAAAGCCTGGTCATTTTTTTTTTCCCCTGAATGTCCCCCTTTAAAAATAAAAATAAAAAATTGAATATCCAGTCTTCTTTAAAAAAAACTAAAAGACCAATATTTCCATATAGATGGAATGGAGGAATGTCCTGCTCTTCCAATTCTTTTCTTAAATATTGCCCTTTGAAATAAGGATTCCGAACAAATTTTGGATTTAGGATTCCAAATCAAAAGTTTGGATCTTTTAACCCTCTATGTGATTTTCATAATCACACCACTGCAAAGCAGCTTTAATTGGCAGAGGTGGGATATCACAGGGACTCAGGTCCAAAATTCTTTCCTTTTCCTTCTGCAGCAATCAAAACAGCTGAAAGCATAATGAATTAGGCTAGAATAAAGTGAAAATTTATAATTTCAATACTTCATTCAAAAACAAAATGTGGGTTGCATGTTGGTTTGTTTTTTTTTTTGTTTTTTTTTTTTCTTTTAACGACAATTTTGATACGTTTACATAGCTTCTCATTTGAAAGATTCAAAACGGGCTTTCCAACTAAATAACTTTTTTTTTTTTTTTTTTCCTCCTGAAGTCCAGTCAAGGTTAAAAGGGAAGAAAGAAATTATGAGGAGAAAAAGTACTTCCTTGAAATTGGTCAAGCTCTTTAAAACCCCAAACCACTTGAAAAACTATCTGCTATACCCTGGGTCTCAGGAACTATGTACAACTTCTTCCTAGGGCAACACAGCATTTGAAAAGACCTATGCACTTATTAGTAAATGTAGCAGACTCTGAGTCTAAATGTGAAAGCTCTTGCAGAATAGGCATCAGAATATTCATCAAGAATAAGAAATGTTATGCAACTATTTTTAGGTCTACACTAATACAGAGGAGAATAGAAAGCAAGGTGAAAAAAAAAAATATGGAAGCATCACCAGGTCCATCATGCATAGGAGGGAAAAAAAAAAAGGAGAATCTTTTAGGGAAAGAGAATGGCAGCATACAAGCAAGACAGGTTACCCATTTTAGAAGAGCATATAGAACAGAAAAGGAAAATAATTCCAGGATTTCATAAACCCAAACATCCCCTAACTGGATGACTAGCATCCAGAAAATAACTTTAATTTTTTTAAGTTTCTCTTGCTTAAGTTGACCCTTGGGAATAGAAAGAACCAAGATTTCTCCCCATGGTGGGGAGCTGCAGATGATCCTCATGGAGATCATACCCAGAGTGACTGCAGCACCTGCTCAGGTTTGAGCCAAGGGAAAGCTCTCCTCCCCTCACCAGAGTCTGGTCTCCTTCTCAGGCTGCAGATATGCACAGGGCAGATCTCTGGTCTCTGATGGGGAGCCACTCAGACTCATTTCAAAGCTCTTTTCTGCTCTCTTCCCTCCTCTCCCACCCCTTTTTTTTTTTCCTCCAATCTGCCAAGTTCTGTAAATATTTAATGAACTGCCTACATGCATTCCTGCACTAAAATCTTTCTAACAATAGAAATCATTATTGTCCTGCACTGTTACTCTACATGCCGCACAAGGTCATTCTGCATTTCTTCCTTAGTATTTTTGCTCCCCAAAGGAAAATGCACTAATGGCAAGGATAAAACTGCTCCCTGCTAGCTGCCACGGGAACTAGAAAGCGGTGTTAATTACCAGCACTGAGAATTGCAGTCTGAACAGCATTAAAAGCTGAAAAGCAAATGTGGCTTAAAATAATAAAGAATAACAATGGTTTTCAGTCTCTAATATTTGGAATCCACAGACTGCTGCTTCGGCCATTATAACTATTGTTATGGCAAAAGAAAAAGGCTTAAATAAAGCTTGTTGATGTGTTTGCTGGATGCTCATAAGATACCAAGTAGTTCTTTGTGATGTTTGGTTGAAAAAATACTGCACTGAATTAGTGAAAAATGCCTGAGAACATATTCTTAGTGCTAACCAAGACCTACTTTGTATGTTAGAACAAAAGGATCACAAAAGCTCTTTACAACAAAAGCTCTTTACAACTTTACCTTCTGTTGTCACCATCACAACCTAATAACACTCCCAACAGCTTGTTTTAGGGGCAAGAAGTAAACTTGACTAAATGAAAGTTAAAGAACTGCAGAAGGTCCCCTAAACTGTCACTGTGCTATTTTAGTGAAATTATCTTTCTACTTGAAAGGGTGCATTTTTCCTGAATCACAAAACATACAATGACTGCAAGGGTGCTTCTACAAAACAAAACTGCTCGTGAGCACAAGCAGTGCTTTAACAGCTCTTCTGTCACAGCATGGGGGCTTGGCTTACTCCAGCTGGTTAAAAAGGCGTTCATTTGATGTAAACCTGGATTTGAGATATCTGTGGCTAAGCGAGCATGAGTGCTCACTTTTTTTTATATTATAAAGTATAATTATAACTTATTCTAATTATTAAAATATTCTAATTTTTGTCTTGCTATCAAGATCATTATCCATTGTTTTAAAGGCTTTGTTCAGAAAAAAAAGGATCAGCATTCATACACATTGAGTGTATGAACGAGGGGAAGAGAACAGCATGCATTGGAAAGGAATTTGCATCAAGGGCTAAATAAATTAGCTGTCTTCAAGGTCCTTGTTTCAAATTCACTTTATGCATTTCATTACTGTGGGATTGTATTAATTTACAAATAACTTTATTGAAAACGTGACTAAATACATTTTGAACTTAGTTTGGACAAACCAATCTCTTTCTAGTATCAAAAATCCCCTTATTTAACTCAAGACCCAGCCAAATGATACCATCTGCACTGTCTTCCTTGGACACTAGTTAACCTGTACAAATTTAAGTCCAGATTTTGAATTTTTCTCTGAATTAACTGTGACGAGTTTCACGCAGGTTCATTAACGTGTTGTACAGGAAAAGTCAAAGTCACTCAAGATCAAAGTCCTCCACTTCACCTATAAACTATATTTATGAGCTAAGGTATTTTCCAACAGTAATTTCCAGTGCTGGATTCAAAACTACGGGGCTCAGCGTGGCTTATTACATGAACAAAATACCCCAGGGCCCATCAAAGTAACTTACAAAAAAATAAATAAAAAAAATCCCTGCTTGGTGTTTTCTATTAACAGGCCTGATAGAAAACATTTTATGAAAGAGGTGAGAATTCTTGTTCCCATTGCTCAGATGCTAACAGCAACATGACGATGTGCTGCCATCAGCAGCAGGAACACAGCCAGGCTATTAAGTGTTGTAGCTGGCAGGATTACTTACATTTTGCAGCTGGACTCGGCTTTGTGCCATACACTCTGACTTTGCCATCATGCTGGAAGCATTTAGGCTGTAGGTTTTCCTATTCTGTGTTTCTTTCAGCTGTTCATGAATTTGCTTTGTTTGTTTCCTGCAGAGAGAAATAAAATTCATGTAAGGAAGAGCTAGTTTGAACTACTACTATTAGCTATGATATTTGTATAACCATGGTTCTCTCTGTTCAAAACTTCATTGCATTGGATTAAGCAGCTGGCCTAATTGAGTAGTCTAATATTTCAATGCAATGGTCATTTTCTGGAGAGTCTTAAGAAAGGAAAAAAAAAAAAAAGAGCTTCTCTGTTTAAAATGTCTTTTATTCTCAACTTACTATAATAGCATGCTAGTTGTTTTAGTGCAGATTTTTGAAAGAAAGATAATTTATTGCATATTTAACAATAGCTTGCATGCGGGCCTGAATATTAAAAAAGCATTTTATTTGAACTTGGAAAGAGATTTTGGAAAACACAGCAGGCATTCACCCCTATTGGTTATAAAAAGTGTCAAACACTTCTGCTAGTAGCATTAGACTTGACCTAGTGCCTTGCGTACACTGGCCAGCAGCAGCACTGCTTTGCTATGCTGCACACAGCTTTTGGACAGCAATCGGTGCTGAGCCAAATTTCAGGAGGAAGTAAGCGATTTCAGGGAAGCGTAGATAAGAAATAAGGAAAAACAAACAATGTTTTCTCCATTCTGAATTTGAAATTCTAGCAAAAAGGCTTCACTAAAATTTTGAAAAAGTTCTGATGATTTGCTGCTGAAAGCATCATGACGTGATCATTTTCATAAAATTCCAGAGGAAATTCATGTCAGCAGCTCTAGAGTTTGTACAAATAAGCGCTGGACTTTGGGAATCTCTTCTGCACATACAATACTCTTAGGATTTAATCAGGAAAAAAAAAATTATGCACTCTCGGAACTCTAATTTGGGTTTATTTGGAAAATATGGGTTTTGAGTTCTTCATTTATAAACACACAAAAGTGAACTAGAATATTCAGTACTTCATTGCTGTATTTTTCAACATTACAATTGAGATTCCAGAAGGTAATTTACTGAGAAAAACAATCTAATAATTAGTTTCACATAATGTTTATGCAACCTAACATTAATATTAGGTTAATGCATATTCATTTTGCCAAAAATCAGGATGCACAGTTATAAAACTAGAAATTATTAATAATTCAAAGTTATTAATATATTTATATCTTTGTTTTCAAAACAAATGATCCTTATGTCTTCTACTTTACAGACACTCCGCAATAAAGTGTTATCTCAGCAAGAAAATAAAGTCACCAGTCATCTATAAAATCCAGCTGTAAAGAGCAGCACATTTTCTTTTTACTGTGCTCTCCCCTCTGTTGCTAACACTTACTTTCTTGATTACTCTGAAAGGAATAATTGGAAGGTCATAGTGTTTAATTAAAGTTCTGAACTTCCTCAGATGGAATATATTCCAAAAAGAAGGACTTTTTAATACAATGATGCATAGGGAATTGCATATTTCTAGCAGCAGGTATTTTGTAATTGTTAGACTAAGAAAAACAGAGTCATTTTCTTCATATAAACTTCTTTCCCCCTGGACCATACAACATTCTGTTAGTAATATTTTACTGTTTGATATATCAAGTTAAGCCCAAAGATTATCCTCCACACAGGAGGGATGCTTTGATAACTTGTAAGCATGATGAAGATACCCCTGCCTGATGAAAAAGTCCAGAAAATCTGTTGATTAAACGCTGCTAACACATGATAAGGGTTGATTCATTTTACATTTGCAGTTTTTTACACCCTTAAGACACTGGGCAATGTCAAAGATACAATAGTGTTTTATGTGGTCTCTATACAACCAAGCTTATGTGGGCCATGAGCTTCACATGGGTGAGCAGATCAAGAGGGACAAGCAAAATGCTTCCCTTAGTGTCCAATGACTGGGAACTGTCCCAGTGCAACCCATAGTGAAGGTGAGCCTGGTATTGAACCTCTAAAAGAACCATGGAATAACTGGTCACCTGCTGAAGTTTGAGTCAAGGCAGTGGCACAAAACCAACATGCAGATGGATGTATGGCTACAGTGCATCTCCTAGGATTTTGAGGGAATGGTGCTAATGACAAAAGGGGGAAATATAGGGAACAAAATCTCACCAGCAGTGAGAACATTTAGGAAAATCTCTTCAAAGGCAAGAGAAGTTGCAGTGTTACTTCAATCTTCTTTAACTTCTGTCACCTCCAGCTATTTCTACATATCCACAGCTTCCCCACCTCCTGCCTTAAGACTGGGAAACCCTACTACCTTACTTGCCTGCCAGTGCTCATGATCTTCATGGATTCTGATATGGAGAACACTTGTTGAAACTTTCCATGAAGGTAGTAGTGTTAGGCCAATCAAGACATTTACTTTTTGGACAGTTTGTCAGATGGAACCGCAGCCAGGGACGTAGGGATTAGCATCTTAAAATTGCTGTGCTTCACATGTTTGAAAAGATCTCATGACAGAACCGAGGTGCCTATTTTCTCAATACTCTTCAAACTTCAAATCCCAGAATTGGGCGTAAGCACACTTCAACTCTTCTTAGTAACTCTTAGCTATAATATTTATAATGCAGATTTAAAATAAAATAATAGTAAAAAGAAGAAACCCAAGATATGAACCACTACAGTCCTGTGAGTGCATCTTTGAAGGATTATTTCTACTCATTATTTTTAAAAATAGCTCTCCCTACCACCTCATCAAAACTGGTATTTGGAAGGCTGTTCCAACCCAGCTCTTCACTATTCCCTAGAACACTGCAAAACCAAGAGGAACACAGCTAAAAAAAAAAAAATTGAAGAGAGGGACATTTTATTCACAGTATGCTCAGTTGTTGATGGTATGTTCTTCCAACTGGCATGCCCAGTCTGCTTTTCCTGAATTCATCAGCAAAAAAACTCAACCCTTTCCAGGAAGGACAGGAACACCTTATTCTTTCTCTCTTTCATTCTTCTGCAAATCTAAAATAAATAATGACATTTCTAATTATATGGAAATATGGCTGTCCCTGCTCACAATTTAAACTGCAACCGAGAGGAACTGTCCTGCAACAGCACTCTCCTAGCTAAAGTCATTGTCAGATTATATGTTGAAAGAACGACTAAATGAAATCCCTCAAGACAGAACAGGTAAGAGTTTAGACAGAACATGTACCACTGAGATTTGAAGAGAAGGGTGAAAAAAAAAAGGCTTGGTGACTTTTCCAGTGTTTTTTTTTTTTTTTTTTTTTTTTTTTTTTCCTTTTCTTGATAGAAATGCCAAAACATTTTTTTGGAAGTACCTCTCATCATAGTAGTATGATAAATGCTTCTAATAGTAGCATCTCATTTCCTACCCATTAGAATAAATTTAAAATAGAAACAGGGTTGGTGAGTGGGGTTTGGGGATTCAGATAAACACCCAAACTTTTAAATAGTGGAAACCTCCACATTTTTGATGCTCAGTCAAATGCTCACCATGGCTAACGTCATACAGGTTATTTTATATTATTAATATTTTTACATTAATTTATATTGATATGCATTCTCTCATTAGCTCCCATTGGAACAGGAATGAGGAATGACAATCATACAGAAAATATTTATAAATACAGTGGCATTGGCATGCATGTCATGTAATTGCTATGACGTTTGTGCAACTCAAATTATACACAAAAGAATAAATATTAAAAAAGAATGTTCAGTTGCAGAGATAAACAAAACAGAATAGAAAGTATGTCACTTGAAAATTGTTTAGTACACTAAATGATTCCATCTTATTTTATAGTTCAATGTACTTGTGCATTAGAGATACTCAGTTACACAACTTTGATCAGCAGCTTACCACTATTAGCTAAAGGTTATAGTTATCTACAGAAAACTTATCTGTTCATGCATTTCTAACTTTTACCTTTATTCCCAGCATACAGATACAAGAGGGACATTAAGGAATATGAAACTAAATGCAAAAAACATTTATTGTCAAAATAAGGAAGTGATTATCGCGCTGATAATAAAAGGCACAAAATTATTATTGTCAAGAAAAAGAACTGGAAAGGTCACAATCCCTTCTTTCCTGCTATCAGAAAATAGAAAGAAGAACATGTAATACTTCTATTTACTTTTTTTTTGTTGTTGTTGCCAGTTTTTGATTTACATAATCTACCCATGAAGACCTGTTCTAGCCTGTCGAGAAATAATGATTGCTTCCAAAAGAGGGAAGAAACTGAAGAAGTGGAAAGCCGTAAAAAAAAGACAAAAGCTAAAAAATATATTAAAAAAAAAAAGGAAAAAAAAAAGAAAAAAAAGAAAGAAAAAAGAAAAGAACACACTAGACAAAGGCTCTTACTTTGTTTTGAAGTAGAACGCTGCACAAAGCATGCCCACTACGACTATGCCAAAGACGATACAGGAAATAGACAGCACCTGGCGCTGGTACACTTCTTCACTCTCTGTGAACGGCAAAATTGAGAATTATGAAGGCATCAGAAAACAGTATTTGTGAAGAGTAGATTTCAGCACAACATGCTTTCACATGCTTTTTCATGCTTTGATGGACAAACGTGAAATTTTGGAGGTCTAAGTCAGCCAGATCCTCAACAGAATGAATGCTTCTCTGAACCTCTCATCTAGATAAAATTCATAGAGCTGTGGTCTCCTAGAAAAGTTTTAGAAAATGGTTCCCGAACACGTTAAAAGATACATAACCATAAAACTCAGGAAAATTTAATATTTTCTCTGCCCTGAATGTTTTTTTTTCCAGCTCCACTGTCAATAGAATAAAAAGCGCTGCAAACACGGAGTTTTACTGGCTTAAGGCAAGATCCATCAGAGCTCTCGGAAGGTCCCATAAGACTCAGTTCATTTTCTGCTACGAAAAAATGCATGTTTTATTTTGAAAGAATGGTGATTACAATGTCTTGCTCCCATGTCATTCCCTGTATTTGGAGCTAATGCACAACATACCACAGTGAAAAAAAAATTAATCAACTTGGATGGAATCCAAGGAATGCTATGCTACAATGCATCAGACATTGCTTTCATGGGAATCTCTAGTTTTTGAAGTAATTTCCTTAATACATCTCATCATCTTCTAATTAATTTCAAAACAGGAACAGAATGGAAGTTAAAAAAAAAGAAAAAGCTAAGAAAACAAGAGAAAACAGTCATTCATGACAGCAGACAGAAACTGATAGGCAACTGGAGTTTCACACTGAATTTATCAACAGCTCCGTGTTATATTTTATTTTTATTATTTCAGCTCGTTATATTTTATTTTTATTATTTCAGCTCCTTGTTTAGTCTGAAGTGCTATCATGCTAAATAGATTGTATTATAATCTGTCTCCAAACATACAACATATAAAATAATCTTTTTATTCATATGTTTGAGGTAGAAAACCAACATGTCAGATTATCAAAGCACAGCATAAAAACTGTACACTGATAAAACTACATTTCCTCTCTAGGTCAGAGATCTTCAGTGCAGACCCCTGTCAACAAGAATACCAGACTCATGTGTCAAGTAGGCGACAGTAACTCCAAGTTCTAGGTTCATAAGGCTCAGGTTTTTAAGAAGAAAAGAATGTAAGGCAACATCAAGGTCTATCTGGGCAAATATTGAAAAAATTAGCACCTAATTGGAATGTCAGTCTAATACCAACTTTCTTTATTATTATGACTGAATACTATGTACAGTTTCCTGATCAGTACTAATTATTAATTTCTCAAGAAAAAATATACAGACTACCCCAGTACTGTTATGGAACACTTGGAATCTTATTCATTTGTCTCTAATAGAAGGGCCAGTTCCACTTCATAAGCTAATTCAAATAAAATTACAAGTACCAAATCTTTGTTTCTTAGTTACTTCTTTACTTGCTCTCTCAAAGAGCAATTCAATGATTCAGAACATTCCTGATAACATATCAACAAATCTGATTCCAACAGAGCTTTAGTCCCATTCCTCACTACATGAACAAAATTTGGATCTAGACAGGAAATCCTTATTGGTAGTGAACTAAATGTCTGGGGTTTCTTGTTTCTTTTTTGGTTTGTTTTTAATAGCCTTTCTGAACACAGAGTTATCCACCTTCCATTTCCATTACAGTACACAAAAGACTGTAAAAAAAACTTGCAAGTTTTGAATCATGAAATGTTGAGATGGATCACACTGCAAATCATTAAATAATTGTTCAGTTCCGTAATTGCTAATCTATTCTGACTGAATACCAATATCAACACCTTCTGCCTAAAATCACAAATAAAACATATGTACTTATAAACTGTGATGTTACTTAGACATTACCTATCATTAAAACAAACATACATTTGGGTTAAAAGAAAGATATAAATTGTGACAAAAAGCTCAAATTTCTTTTTCTGTTAACCTAGGTATTCATTAAAAACTTTATTTCTTTTGTGACTTTGTCAAGAAATGGTGAGTTTCATGCAGCTATGACCTTTTGTCAGTCCTGACTAGCTATCATTGTCTTGTTAAAGGTGCTTTAGAATATATTTTACCAAGATAAAAGCACTTCAGAGACTGGACAATATTATCTTGCTCAAACAACTAGGTGAAGATTTAAGTCTTTTGTATAGTCTCCTTAATCCCCATCACTGGTTTTCAACACATACTGATCAATGCTTTCTTTACTTTTTTGTTTATTCTGTATAGTGCGTATTTAAATAAGTTAAAATAACTAGTTATTGATTAACTATACTCCATTTCTTAGAAAGCTTTGTTCATTTTTTACATCCTTAAAATCCGTGTTTGTGTATTTGACTCCACTATTTTTTTTCTCCAACATCTTAAAATATAATCAGTTTTGCATTTTTCCATTCTCTAGTCTTCCACTTTTTTTTCTTTTTCTTTTTTTTTTTTTTTTAAGAAAAAATGCTAAACAAAAACAAAAGCAAATATCACCATCCTATTGATGGAAATTTCATCTGCATCTCTCTGCAAACTTTCATGGTCTACTCATTGTTATGATTTAACCCCACCATTGCTCTAAACGCATATAGCTGAGATCTCCTCTAGCTGAGGGGTACAGAATAGGGCCTTTAAACCTAACACAATAAACCAGAGGGCTATAGCTGAGTTTTGCTAAGCACTATTGTTCTCACAGAACAGGACACTGATGAAATTCAATGTGCAAAAAAGAGAACTGAAAATTACTTCTGCTTAGCTGTAGATGTGCATCAAACTATGAACATATATTTACATACTGAAACAAAATTCCAAGATAATCTAAAATGTGAGTGAAATTATATGTCTCTTTATTCACAGATATTCATACATTCCTTGTGAAATAGATCACCTTAATTACATTCTGTTGAAATAAACACTAGGGAGTGGACTCCTCATTTAATAAGCATCCAAGAAAACTTTTCAGGTAAAAAAACAAAATATAAGCTGATGCGGATATTCATAGATTACCCAGATAAGGAATTAAGGTTACCGAAAATAAACTCCATCAAGCATTCAAATTATACCTATACAAACAAATCTAAACCAACAAAAATACAACCACAGAAAACAGTGCTGAAAAATAGTAAACTGTTTAGATTCAGACTATTTTGTTTAGTGAAAATTATGGAAAGAATGATCCTTCCAGAACACCAAGACAAACTCACATGGGACATTAAGCCTCTTAGAAAGGTCAGTTCCTGTAGGCAAGCCCTCATTCTCCATGTGCACTGCTACACGTCTGGCGCAGTTTTGTTTACACTATTGATTCTTTCTTTTCATTTTCATTCTAGCAACGAACTTGTCTTGCCCTTCGCTTCTGTCCCATCATCCTACTGAGCCTGAATTTAAACTTCTCATTACCTTAACTGCTCCTTCTTCTAAGCTTATTTCACACATTTCCTACTGTTATAAAATACAAAATTAACTATTGGTGACCCATGGAAGCAATATTTCTTCCAGCACTCAGAGCACAGTCAAATTTCATCTGTGTGTCAACGAAAAAAAGTACATGTCATATTCCAGGTGCTAGGTTTCTTTTTGATTCCCTTGCTCTTTAAAATTTACTCTTAAAGGCTGTCATCTGTCTGCTTTATGCATGTGGAAAGACCCACTGAAGCATATGCGTAAGACTTTAAAGGATAAAAAGTGTAGGACAGACATTTTTCTTATGACTGCTACTTCTAAAGGATATAGTGTTTTTGTTGTATAAACAAACTGAAACCTGCCACTTCTTTGTAACTTTACTATAAAAGGAAAAACACTGATAGAGGGTCCTTGAGAAGTATATATTTCTAGCCATATGACTGAAGAAAAAATAATTCAGTTATCTAAAACAGATTATGTTAGTTTTATTAGCCACTAAATCCACAATGTCATTACCAGCTGTAATCAGCTGATCCTCTAACTTCTACAGTCTATTTTCTGAATTTGTTGAAATTTCCTGGGAAGTTATTTCAAATATAAATAACTGCATTGTGGCCTAAAGAAAATTATAACAAAGCAAAAATAATAACTTTTTTATACCTCACAAGCATCATTTGCCACTTACAGGACCCTTATTGGTGTACTGTATCCTCAGAGGGCTCTGCAGAAGTCCTAAATACAATAGAGGAAGACTACATGGAAACTCCATTCACATCAAAATTTCCCATAAAATATGGATTACCATAAGTTACAAGACAAGAGATTAGTTAAAAGCATATTTCTCAATATACTTATATTTACGTGCAACAAATGTTGAACTATATAAGGCATTCTAAATTTAACTCATGAAGAGAATAAAAAAAACGTTGCATGTTCCACAGAACAATCTGCGATTGCCTCAGAATCAGACTTTCAGCTCTCCCAAGAGTTTTCCCTGTTCTTTCACTTGCAAAAACCTACCATACAGACATACTGCCATATGTTGTGGCTTGTTCTAAGACAGAATGATTTAGCAGTTGAAATGTGAAAAGCCACAATTCAGAAATTTCTTTGACCTTGTGTATAAGGAAGATCCTTCTTCTTTCTGTAATCATGAGGGTAATATTGCCTCTCCTATTTCAGCAAATAGCGTAATAAACTTTAATAAACATCTTCACCTCTAAAATAATGAATTCTATGAAAATACATAAAACAGTTAAAACTGCCCCAGATAAGTCTGTTCCAATTTCTTTAAGGGCATATACATTACTTCAGATAAAATACCATGTTTTATTCCAATTTTCAGATACCTTTATTAGTCACCAAGTTTTTTTTCCTTCAACTTTTGTCTGTGTGGATTTTTTATTTATTTATTTTTAAAAGGGCTTCAAATCACTTTGGCTCTCAAATTAACAATGGAAGTTTGTATCCACTATCATTTACAGAAAGGGAAGAGTCAAGGTTAATTGCACAGGTTCACATTTCAGACTGGAAGCAGATCAAGCTAACTTCTGCTGGAATAAAGTTCATAAAGCATTTCTAGTACTGATTCTCTCTTGGGAAGAAGTGTTACATGATT